AAAATATATTTGGTTATCTTCTACAAAAAACTGATGACGTCAGCTCAAAAGTTTTCCGAATAAATCGTATCTAAAATGTACAAAATATGATGAGTCTGTATTTGTGATTTATCATTCCATTCATATTTTTGGATTTGCATATGCAGGGTGACTCAAAAAAATTAATGAAGGCGTGAATTTATTTTATCGATTTAATCAGGGATTACAAAACCGAATGCTTTGAAATCTTGGGAATATTTTAAAGTTATTATAAGCATGGTAAACTTTTGTTCAAAATGTATTTGTTCATCCCTCCTAAAAAAATTGATGACGTCACCCTTAAATTTTGCTGAATAAATCCTATTTAAAATGCAAAAAATATGATGAGTTTGTACTTGTGATTTATCATTCCATTCATATTTTTTAGATTTTCTTAAGAGGTGGTTCAAAAAAATTAATGAAGTCAATTTATTTTATTGATTAAATTAAAGGCAACACTTATTAAGTATTAGTATTACACCCCAACCAACCCAATTTGGTAGACACAAAATTTGTTAAAGGAAAAACTCGGTTGAAACATAAGGGTAGCACGCTTATTTACATCGACTTTAACATTACAGACCTGCATTTGTTTTATGCGTTCACTTGATTCCGCGAATGTGAAATAGACATGTTTATAATCAACCAATTGTGAATTTCACCGTCAAGAATTAAAATAAAACCCAATGTTTTATATAATAAGCGGAAGTCGAAGCAATAAAACCGACGGTCGTTTTGTTTACAGTTTCTGTGTTTGGCTCTTACGTATGCTGTTACGCCTGTCATCTTAAATTAACAATGTTTATACATACACGATTTTCAGTTGCCTCTGATACGTAGGTATACGTGAGTAAATTGTTTCGTTATTTTATTGATTATTACAAATCAATATTCAAACGACCCAATTCATTTTCCCGAAAATTTGAGAATATAATAATTTTATTCTTAGTATTACACTACATCTATCCCAACTGATATACGTGTCCTTGCAAAAATGTTGATGACGTCATCGCAATTTTTTTTTTAATTCCCACTACAAAAATGTAATGAGAAAAAAAACACAATAGGCATGCAGTCGTCAAGTTTCCGACAGCGAGGGAAGTACTGTCTAAACTCTTAAGACCAATTTTTTCTTTCTGTGGTCCTCTTTTTAATTGCTTTTCTGCAACTGTTTTGCTTTATTTTTTTTTGGGGGGCATTTTTTGTCGCTCTTTTTAAGTCCCCTCTTTTAATCGTATTTTTACAATGTTTCTTAGATCCGTTTTTAGTCTTTTTTTTGTGAATTTTTATTGTCCTCAGTTTTCGCATTTTTCGTTGCGTTTATTGTGGACTCTTTTATTTTCTTTTTTATGACTCATTTGTTGTTTTTTTGTTTTTTTTGCCACCTTTCTAGGTGCCTTTTTTTGTTCCTTTTTTATTACGTTTCTTGTTTTTATTTTTTTCGCTTTTTTTGTTACTTTTCTCTAGTCGATTTTTTGTATTTTTTTGTTGTTTGTGTTTTTAACCTTTTTGTAATTTTTTTTGGCTGTTTTTATTGTCTTTTCTTTTGTTATTTTCTGTGGTTGCTTTTTTTGTTATTTTTATTTCTTACGTTTTTGTCCTCCTTTATAGTTTTTTATTGTCATCGTTCTGTAGTTGTCTCTTTTGTTGCTTTTTCATGTTCTCTGTTTTTGTGGTCTTTTTATAAAGTTTTTTTAACATTTTTATTGCCTTTTCTTTTGTTACTTTCTGTATTCACTTTTTTATTGATTTTTTAATTTTTGATTTCTGTAATATTTTTCTCTTTTTTTTGTTGCTTTTTTAAGTCCCATCTTCTAGTCGCATTTTTATGACGTTTTTTAGACATGTTTTTAGTCATTTTTTCGTGGTCTTTTTTTCATTGAATTTTTATTGTCCTTAGTTTTCACATTTTTTTGTGGGCTCTTTATTATTTTCTTTTTTTTTTTGACTTTTTTGTTGATTTCTCCTTGTTTTTGTCACTTTTGTAGACGCCTTTTTTTGTTTTTTTTTACGTTTCTTGTTCTTATTTTTTATTGCCTTTTTTTGTTTCTTTTCTGTAGTCGAGTTTTTTTTTTTGTTCTTTATGTTTCTAACCTTTCTGTATTTTTTTTGGCTCTTTTTATCGTTTTTTCTTTTGTTACTTTCTGTGGTCGTCTTTTTAATTGCTTTTTTGCAACTTTTTACCTTTATTTTTTGTCGTTCTTTTTAAGTCCCCTCTTTTAGTCGTATTTTTGATGATGTTTGTTAGATCCGTTTTTAGTCTTTTTTTTGTGAATTTTTATTGTTCTTAGTTTTCGCAATTTTCGTCGCGTTTATTGTGGACTCATTTTTATTTTCTTTTTTATGACTCATTTGTTGTTTTTTGTTTTTTTTTTGCCACCTTTCTAGGTGCCTTTTTTGTTCCTTTTTTATTACGTTTCTTGTTTAATTTTTTTTCCCTTTTTGTTTTACTTTTCTCTAGTCGATTTTTTGTATTTTTTTTGTTGTTTGTGTTTTTAACCTTTTTGTAATTTTTTTGTCTGTTTTTTATTGTCTTTTCGTTTGTTATTTTCTGTGTTCGTTTTTTTATTGCTTTTTTGTTCTTTGTTTTTGCAACTTTTTTCCTTGGACCTCTTTTTTAGTGATTTATTCATGGTCTCTTTGCATTTTTTATGAATTTATATTGTCCTTTCTTTTCGCTTTTTTGTTGCCTTTTTTGTGGACTTCTTTATTATCTTTTTTATGGACTTTTTTTATTTTCTTTTTTGTGACTTATTTGTTGTTTTTGTAGCCGCTTTCATGTTGTTTTTGTGACTTCTGTGGTTGCTTTTTTTTTTTTTGTTTTTATTTCTTACGTTTTTGTTCTCCTTTACAGTTTTTTATTGTCATCTTTCTGTAGTTGTCTCTTTTGTTGATTTTTCATGTTCTCTGTTTTTGTGGTCTTTTTATGAAGTCTTTTTAACTCTTTTATTGCCTTTTCTTTTGTCACTTTCTGTATTCACTTTTTTATTGATTTTTTTATTTTTGATTTCTGTAATATTTTTCTCTTTTTTTTGTTGCTTTTTTTTAAGTCGCATTTTTTTGACTTTTTTTAGACCTGTTTTTAGTAATTTTTTTCGTGGTCTTTTTTCTGTGAATTTTTATTGCCCTTAGTTTTCGCATATTTGTGTCTTGTTTTTTGTGGACTTTTTTTTATTTTCTTTTTTTTTGACTTTTTTGTTGTTTTCTCGTTGTTTTTGACACTTTTGTAGGCCCCTTTTTTTGTTTTTTTTTTGTTACGTTTCTTGTTCTAATTTTTTGTCACCTTTTTTGTTTCTTTTCTTTTGTCGATTTTTTGTGTTTTATTTTGTTCTTTGTGTTTCTAACCTTTCTGTATTTTTTGGCTCTTTATGGTTTTTTCTTTTGTTACTTTCTGTGGTCGTCTTTTTTTTTTTGGGGCATTTTTGGACTTCTTTTTTAGTCATTTATTTGTTGTTGAATTTTTATTGTCCTTTGTTTTACCTTTTTTTGTTCCTTTTTGGCGGACTTTATTTTCTTTTTTTTTTGTGACTTACTTTCTTGTAGTTTTTGGTCGCCTTTTTTTGTTGTTTTTAGTCGTCGCGTTTTTGTCCCTCTTTATAGTTTTTTATTGTCATTTTTCTTAGTTGTCTCTTTTGTTGATATTTCATGTTCTCTGTTTTTGTAGGCTTTTTGTGAACTTTTTTTAGCCTCTTTCATCGTTTTTTTTCTCTTGCCACTTTCTGTAGTCGTTTTTTTTATTTTTTTATCTTTGGTTTCTGTAATTTTTTTCTTTTCTTTTTTTACGCATTTTTTTTGTTGCTTGTTTAGACCTGTTTTTAGTAATTTTTTTCGTGAATTTTTATTTTCCTCTGTTTTCGCATTTTTTTTGTCGGCTTTTTTGTGGACTCTTTTTTATTTTTTTATGATTTATTTGTCGTTTTCTTGTTGTTTTTGTCACTTTCGTGACACTTTTCGCCTTTTTTGTTCTTTCTTTTTTGTTACGTTTCTTGTTTTTATTTTTTATTGTCTTTTTTGTCACTTAAGTCTCTTTTGTTGATTTTTTGTTCTCCGTTTTTATAGCCTTTTTTATGAATTTTCTTGGCCTATTTTAATCGCCTTTTATTTTGTTGCTTACTGTAATTGCTTAAATTTCCCTACTATGGTAAAGTGGAAATACTATGAGAATAACATGTTGACCAAGAGCCCATCAGCGAATAGCTGTCTTCATTTTTTCGACTCCTAAATTAGGAAAAAATTGGTTGTCGTTTCCGTCTGATTGTCTTTGTCATTTTTTTTTTATTGAAACAAATGGCTCGATTGTTGTCACGTGACTTCAAAATTTTGTGTGGTGAATGCTATTTAAATTTTATAAAATAACATATTCCCGTACTTCTGGTTTATTAATTTATTATCGAAATTGTCCAGATTTTAAACTTTAACTACTTATCAGAAAGGTGATTTATTTTTAGTGTTAGTTGTCAAAGTTGTTAGAAAAGAGACATTATAACCACTCACTTTAACAATTTTTCCCGGTCACGGCTACCAATAATAATAAAATGACGTAATATGAACGAATAAAAATGTACATATGTGGATTACGGTTTGTGTTAAATTTAAAGGGCACCGAAATTGGGATCTGTGACTCCGCTGTTGCATCTTCGCTTCAGATGTAATCTTAAAAGCAATATTGCGCTTTAGAAATAAAATATTATGTGGTCATCCTGAATAGATACGGAGGAGAATAGACAGGAAGTAGTCGGAAATGGAATTATTGAAGAAATATTGAATTTCTTTTTACCAGTCGACTTGGAATAAAGCCATCACAATTTCTATAGCAGAATTTCCAGAGCGTTCAAAGATGAAGTTAACACTGTAGACTTTTATTAACAATAATAAAAAGTCCACACTAAGCGAGTTTCACTGCGATTAAGTTGTAACAGACCATAACCTCAATACCGCAAACTTATTGTAACCAAATATTTCAATTTCTAAATTTGTTTCAGGGATTTACCGCTGGTTTTAGTTCCAAAACGCCAACCCGCCGTCACGAGTAAGTAAATTAAGCTCCCTCACTGTGTTTTATGTTTACATTTTTTTCGCCAAAACCCGCCAAAGCCCCGCCGCCACTCTCCCCTACGTGACCGCCTTGCCAAAACACGCCGTAAATAATTCCTCCGAAACCCCTCAGCTCCCCTTTTAATAACTTTTCCATCCGCAAAGTACACGCACAAATATTTATGAAATATTTCGAGTGATACTTCATGAAAAATAAACCTCTCCGGTTTTTTCCCTCGCGTAAACGCCCAGGCACGCCATGTGCATGGGATTTTTCAAATATTTACATGTGCGACACAAAAAAGAATCTTCGTCAGAAATTAGCCGCCTCGAATTTATGCCGGAGGAATCCGGCAGAAAGCGCCTTCATCCATAACAGTCTTTAAGGTTTTAATTCGCCTCGGCGTCGTGAAAAGACGACAGCTGAATCGCGGTTTTCTTTGGTGATGGATGCACACAAGAGCGAGATTAGCAGGTTTCAAATGGACCGAAATTCTATTATGGTTGGAGCGACACTGACCTAAACTTGAGCTTAGAGGAATAACAATTTTTTGATTTTTTTGTGCGATAAAATGGATTTAATGTGGATGTAACTATACATCTAACTGCAGCTTTTTTCATATTTTAAGCGCCTGAAAACAGTTCAATTAGTAACTTGTTTTTAAGGCTTGTGTCATACTAAATATTTGGTAGTAGTACCGTTTATTTAAATAATAATGTCTTTATTAAAATCAAAATATACCATAAATTAATTCAAAATACATCGAATGATTTTACCAGAAGTATTAGTGGAAAATTATGACACGGTCCTTAGAAAAAAGTTTTTAACAAAAACGAACAATTATTGAAAAAAATGGGTTCCCGAGTAACTTCAGATTCAATGAAAACCAAAAACACTAGGGACCCCAAGATATTTTCATAATCCTTTCAGTGAAAAAAAAAAAAAAACACCAGAGTCGCTCGAGAAGCTCTCACAATCCTTACATGAAAAAAAAACACGAATGGTTCCCAAGATTCATTAATAATAATCTTAAAAAAAGCACTAGGAGTCCCTGAGATTCTTTCACACTCCTTTAAATGAGAAAAAAAACAGTGAAAAAGTCTCCAATATTTTTTAAAGATTTTAAAAAATATCTATTAAGAGCTTTCAAGAAGCTTTCACATTGAATCAAACCAAAAAACACCAAGAACATTGGAAAGGCCCTCAAGGTGTTTTAATAATCTTTAAAAAAAACACCAAGGTCTCTCGAGAGGCTTTTACAATCCTTTAAATGAAAAAAAAAGCACTGGAACGATTCCCAAGATTTTTTAATAACAATCTCTAAAAAAGCATTAGGAGCCCCCAAGATTCTTTCACACTCTTTTCAATGAAAAGAAAAACACTGAAAAGGCCCCCAATATTCTTTAAAGATCGTAAAAATTATATTAGGAGCTTTCGAGAAGCTTTCAAAATTCTTTAAATAAAAAAAAGAACGCTGGAACGGCCTCCCAAGAGTCTTGAATAAACTTTACAAAAAACACTAGGGGCTCCAGAGAAGCTTTCAGCCTGAATCATAACCAAAAACACTAGGGGCCCCCTGACTCTTAAATAATCTTAAACAAAAACACCAAGGCCTTCCGAGAACCTTTCAGATTTAATCAAAACCAAAAACACCATTGAACCCAAAAATAAAATAATTAAAAAAAAACACTTGGGTCTCTCGAGAAGCTTTTACAATCCATTAAATGAAAAAAAACTGAAATGGTCCCCAAGATTATTTAATAATCTCAAAAAAAGCACTAGGAGCCCCCGAGATTCTTTAACACTCTTAAATGAAAAAAAAAGACAATGAAAAGACCCCAAGATTCTTTGAAGATTAAAAAAAATATATTAGGAGCTTTCGAGGCGCCAAGATTCTTTAAAGATCTTAAAACGAAACAAACTTTCATAATTTTTTAAAGGAAGAGAAAGAACAGTGGAACGCTCCCCACCCCCCCCCCCCTCCAGAATCTTAGAATCTTTAATAATCCTTAGAAAAAACACTAGGCGCCCCTAAAAATCTAAAAAAAAAGCAACACCAAATGTTCTCGAGAAGCCTTCAGATGGAATCAAACCCAAACAAATTCTTTCACAATCCTTTAAATAAAAAAAAAACACTGAAAAGGCCCCCAAGATTGTTTAAACATTTTAAAAATTATATTAGAAGCTTTAGAGAAGCTTTCACAATTCTTTAAATGAAAAAGAAGAACACTGCGACGCCCCCTCAAGATTCTTTAAAGATCTTAAAAAAAATGTTAGGAGCTTTTGAAATCGGGGCCCTCAGGTTTTTTTAATAATCTTTAAAAAAAACACTAGACCCTCCTAAGATGCTTTCAGATAGAATCAAAACAACCAAAACACCAGGGAACCCCAAAATTCTTTCACAATCCTTTATTCTTTAATAAATAATCGTTAAAAAACACTAGGGTCTCCCGAGAAGCTTTCACAATCTTTTAAACGAAAAAAAAAACACTCGATTGGTCCGGAAGATTGTTTAATAATCTCAAAAAAACACTAGGAGCGCCCGAGATTTTTTCACACTCCTTTAAATGAAAAGAAAAACTGAATAGGCTCCCAAGACTATTTAAAGATCTTAAAGAAATATTAGGAGCTTTCGAGGCACAAAGATTCTTTAAAGATTTCAAAACAAAACACTAGGAGCTTCCGAGAAGCTTTCATAATTTTTTAAATGAAGAAAAAGAACAGTGGAGACCCCCCAAGATTTTTTAATAATCTTTACAAAAAACACTAGGGGCTCCAGAGAAGTTTTCAGTGTGATTCAAAACCAAAAGCACTAGGGGCCCCCAAAATTGTTTCACAATCCTTTAAATGAAAAAAAAAAAAACACTGGAAAAGCCCTCAAGATTCTTTAATAATCTTTAAAAAAACACTAGGATATCTCGAGAAATTTTCACAATCCTTTAAATGAAAAAAAAAAAACAAAATTGGAATGGTCCCCAAGATTATTTAATAATCTCAAAAAAAAAAAAAACACTTGGAGCCCCGAGATTCTTTCACATTCCTTTAAATGAAAAAAAAACAATGAAAAGACCCCAATATTCTTTGAAGATCTTAAAAAATATATTAGGGGCTTTCGAGGCGCCAAGGTTCTTTAAAGATCCTTAAAACAAAACACTAGGAGCTTTCGAAAAGCTGTCATAATTTTTTAAAGGAAGAGAAAGAACAGTGGAACGCTCCCCCTCCCCTAAAATCTTAGAATCTTTAATAATCCTTACAAAAAACACTATGGGCTCCCGAGAAGCTTTTAGTCTGAATCAAAACAAAAAACACCAGGGATCCCCAAGATTCTTTGAAATTCCTCGAAATAAAAAAATTAATAAAAGTACACGGGCCGCCTCCAAGATTATTTTCTTATATAATCAAAAAGTACATTACTTCAGCCCCCGAGATTTATTAATAATCTTTAAAAAACACTAGGAGCCCTCGTGAAGCTTTCAGTTTAAATGAAAGAAAAAACACTGGAAAGCTTCCCAAGAGTATTTAATAAATCTTAAAAAAAAACACTAGGGCCTCCCGAGAAGCTTTCAGACCGAATGAAAACCAAAAACACTAAGGACCCCCAAGATTCATTCACAATTCTTTAAATGGAAAAAGGAACACTGGCAAGGCTTCCAAGATACTTTCAAATTCTTCTAAATAAAAAATAAATAAAAAACCACCGGCTGCCCTCAAGATTCTTTCCCTAGATATTATTAATAATAAAAATGCTTTATAATACCTTGTACAAGTCAGTGTTATCAAATTTTACAGCAATCAGTTCAGTGTTTTAGAGATTATCTGTATAACAAAATCGCCAACAAACGCGACCACGAGACAGACGGAAACGAGGACCTACTTTTTCATATTCTAGAAGGCACTAATCTAACTTAACTCTGGGAAGGTAAAAAGACTAAGTATTATTTAAGTGAACTAATTGTTTTCCAACGACCACACTAAATACAAAAACTTGGTATCACGACTTTCCAGACAGATTTACGTTCAAAAAATCAAACAGTCAGACGAACAAGAAATATCTATCTTATTTATTGCAGTAAAGTATAAATAACCGAAAGCTTTTCCTTGAATTTCAGAGCAGTAAAGGTCAGCTCTCTCGTATGATAAAATAATTTCCGTCTGAAAACCCAATACATACTTCAAACAGTGACTGCTATAAAACTCGAGTAGAATAAAAATATGCACTTTCAACAGATAAACTTCTCAATTCTTCTTTGTTCACCGAATGACATCGAAAATATTTACCTCTTGCAAATTGCGTTCGGCGTAATTCCAAGAATCTCTGTAATTGAAACGGAAACTAATCGTCTAAAGAAGTTTGAATCCGAAAAACTTCTCGCAAACAATTCCATTACGACTGTGACAGATGCTCACTGAATCGCAAAGCGTGCATTACGTTTATTAAAAGTTACGCAAATACGTTTTATGAAAGTCTCCGTTAACGATGGAAGTTTTGTCCAATAAAATTCCTACAAAGGTAAATATCTCTCCATCAAAAAGCAAAAAATCTCTTTACTGCATGCCCTCTCGAGAGTAAATAATTATTTCATCCTCTCTGAAATCAAGCCCAGAGATCTGTTTCTTTTAATCCATAATTCATCCCTAATCATGTTTAGCGAATTGCGGCCTGTTTAATCCTCCCTAGATTATTTACATCCTTTCGGCCAATTTCATTGTATTCCACACGCTGTAATTTATTAGGCCGCATTCAAACAAACATTCGCGTTTCAACTTGTTATTGTGATTATTTGAGTTGTCAGGGCTGCCAACATCGCATCAAATCGGGTGATTGGCGTGGCTGTCAAGAGCCTAACAAAATGCACACTGATGTAGATAAAAAGCGATCCTACATCATAACTGCGGGTGTTTTTTCAAGGCAGACAAACCGCTAGGGGCATTTTCGCTTGTTTCGCAGGATCGACGCAGGGCTGCCAACAGAACGGACGCGGGAATGTCAGTAA